TATACATGGGCTTCTTCGTATATGGCCCACTTCAGTTGAGCCGACCCAACTCTAAGATTTTATGATTAAACCCAACTTTGTTCTACTAGTCTCTTAGGTTAAGATAACACGAAGCCCATAAGTGCAACGGTCATCTGTGCAAGAAAGAAACGACAAAATAAAAGCAGAGGAAGTTGGGAAGAAATATGCAGGGATCCGTACATGGTCAAAGGACCTCATCCAAATTCAACAAAAATTTGAAGTGTTGTCGTCCTTATCCATACACGCGGATTGACAGCTATCTAGGGTTTTACAAGTGACAAAGGTTGTATAAAAGCATCTCTCTAAAATTGTAAAATTGTAAAAGCATCAATCTTCTTCCCAATTTCTCTCTGTTCTTACACTACCGCCTTTTCCACTGTTTCTTTTTTTTTTGTCTCCTGCTCTTCTCTTTCCAGATTTCAGTTCTCCTTCACTCGAATCCTCCCACCGAGCAATCTTTCCCGATTTCAGTTGTCAGCCACTCCAATCCAACCGAGGCAAGCTCTTCTCCTCATTTCAATCTTTTATGGTGGGAATCTAGTTCATACCATCAACAAATTTGTTCTTTTTTATAAAATTTCCTGGGGAATTAAATGTGTGGTATGGTGCTTGAGATTGAGGGAATCAAATGTGTGATATGGTGCTTGAAATTGATAAAGTATCATTTTTTATCCGCTAAAATGGTTATTTTTTTTAATTAGCATGTGGAGAAGAGTAGTATCTACTCGTGTCAAATCCGTAGCACCTGAGACGTCTCCTCTTTCGTGTGCTTTTCTTACGCATTTTAGCTTTAAATCAGGTACAAGACTTATTTGCTGTAGTTTTCCTTGAGTTGTTTGTATCAAACACTATGTGTCAATTCTTAATCAAGGTCTCTAAGGCTTTCCAAATTCACTATTTGTTATTGAATCAAGGTGATCCTAAAGGGATTTATAGGGAAGCTAATGGTGTCAAATACCTAGCACCTGCCGATTTCATTGATGCTTCTCCTCTTTCGTCTGCTTTTCGTAGGCATTTTAGTTCCAAATCAGGTACCAGACTTATTTGCTGTAGTTTTTACTTGAGTTGTTTGTATGAGATACTCTGGCTTCTTAATCAAGGTCTAACGCTTTCCGAATCCACTACTATGTTTGTTATTTAAGGTGATCCTAAAGGGATTGATAAAGAAGATGTTGGGCAGGCTGATAAAGATGAATGGGAACTTGATCTAGGTA